AGACCTCTTCTGGCTGCCCTTGGAGAATGGCCTCAGAGCTTTGCAGCCAGAGGCTGTTCCTAAAATCAGACCAGGGGCGCCTGACTGGCTCAGGGGTTAAGCGTCTGCCTTCGGCTCAGGTCATATGATCCCAGGATCCTTGGGATCAAGTCCCCTATCAGCTCCCTGCTCAGCAGGGAGTCTGCTTCTCCCTCTCTCCCTCTGCTGCTCCCCCAGCTTGTGCTCGCTCGCTCTCTCTGACAGATAAATGAATTTTAAAACTAACTAAATAAATCTTTTAAAAAATCTATTAAAAATAATTGTGACAAATGAAAGAGTGAATAAATACATAAAATGCAGGTCAGACCCAAGGCTGTAAGACTTACTCCAGTGACCTCCCCGAGGCTGGGCTCCACACTGTCCCCTACTGCCTGATGGTGCCCTGCCTGTCCCCAGCTTTGTGGCACGTCCTCCTTGAACCCTTTCCTTGCACACGCCAGAGAGCTAGGTGTTCCTGTGGAAGTTTTGCAAATGCCTTGCTTCCCACCCGGTAGGATTCTGCTCCTTATTTATGGGTGACTTCTTCCTGTCTTCCTGTCCTTATTGGTGTACCATACTGCTACGAATTTAGTAGCTTAAATTGCCACACGTTGACTCTCTTACAATCCTGGAGGTCCGAAGGCGGAAGTGGCTTTCACTGGACTAAAACCAAGGTGTCAGCAAGTCTGCATTTCTCCTGAAGAGACAAGGAGAGAATCCATTTCCACACGTCTTCCAGCTTCTAGAGGCCACCGGCCCTCCTTGGCTCGTGGCTTCCTCTGTCCTCAAAGCCAGCAGAGTAACATCCTTCATCTTCAAACCTCTCTTTCTCCTTTCCTCCCTCCCTCTGGCTCTCCTGCCTCCCACTTAGAAGGCCCCTGGTGATGTCACTGGGCCTGCCCAGAGAATCCAGGATAATCTCCCCGTTTCAGGATACTTAACCACCTCCCCAAGGTCCCCTTTGCAGCGTAAGTAACACGTCCACAGGGTTCAGAGATTAGGACGTGGGCATCTTTGGGGGCCGTTATTCTGCTCGCTAGAACAATGAGAAAAGCTGTGTCTTGTTCATTCTGTATCCTTCTGCATGAAGGGAAGTTCAAAGATACTTTAGCTTGAGCGCGTGAGTGAATGAATGGCTCCCTAGAGGCCAGGTGGGGGCAGAAGCCATTGAGTGAAGCTGGGAGGAGGCGGGAGAAACCAGAGTGTAGCCTGAGCTGGGCCCCTTCGTGCCTCTTCTGCTAACTCACTTTGGCTGTTGGTCTGGGCCTCTGCTCAGCCTGGAGGGGCTCTGGGTACAGAAGCAGAGGGCCGGATGGCCTGAAGACCAGGACACATGAAGGCGGCAACAGTGGAGGAGGAAAGCTTTCAGGAACCCCCTGGAGCCCAAATGTCCTGTGTCCTCGACTCTCAGACCAAAAGTGCAGCCCCCGTGTCCCCTCCGTGGCCTGAGCATGATCTCATCTTTCCAGCCCCGGGGAGTGGGTGCTTTCCCGCACTGCGGCTGGTGGGCTGGCTGTGGGATCCTGCAGACAGAGCCTGTGATCTTTGGGAAGCTCCTGTAAGTAAGCCTGAGAGCCTCGGTTTTCCTTTCTTTGAAGATTTTATTTCTTTATTTGAGAGAGAGAGAGAGCACAAGAATACAGAGCAGTAGGCAGAGCAAGAGAGAGGAGAAGATTCTCCACTGAGCAGGGAGCCCGATGTGGGGCTCGGTCCCAGGACCCTGGGATCATGACCTAAGTCAAAGGCAGACGCTTAACTGACTGAGCCACCCAGGCACCTTGAGCCTCAGTTTTCTTAACTGTAGAAGATAATAATAATAATAATAATAATAATATAATAACAGCTCTCTTTCTGGGGTTTTGTGGGAATTAGAGAAAAGATGGTGTACACAGTGAACCACAACCAGTTCAATCCTAGGAACTATTAGTGAAGGTCGGGAGTCTCGGCCCCCATTCCAATGTCTACCGGCTCAGTAGACTTGGGCCGTCCTTCGCCCCTCTCAGCCTTGGTTTCTTAATCTGGTAAATGGGTAGAAGCAACTCAAACATTTGCAGGGGTGGATGGGAGGAGGCCCTGATGAGAAGTGTGGGTGGGTCGTTAGTCCCGTTACTGTACCCAGGCCCCTGCGGGAGAGAGATGTCTTCCCCAGCATAGCGTTCCCAGAACTGTCAGACTCGCAGAGACCCAGCTCTCGGACAAGGACGCCACAGGACCGTCCTGGCTGCTCGACCTCCCTGCTCTGCACTCCAAGTGGCTATTGGGAGGCCAACAGCTGTCTCTGCCAAGTGGCATCTCTGGGGCACAAAGAGCAGTGGAGAGGGCAGAGCACACTGGCTCATTGTCCTTGGGGCTGAGCAGCCGCAGCTGGGGGTCCCCGGGGGTTCCTCGGACCTCCACACCATGGCTGTCCAGGCACCCGGCCCATCCCTACAGACTTCGAGCAGCCCTCCAGCAGCACCTGAGCAGCACAGAGCCTCTGTCTCCTACAGCACCTTCTATTGGGGGCCCCTAGCAACAGTAAGCTTGAGGAGGGTGACCTTGGACCTGGAGACAGGATGCTGGTCCTCATTCCTTATGGCACCGACACATTGGGAGGACAACTCTGATACAGCTGCCCCCTGGTATCAGACACCCACATGTGCTTCCCACGGCCGGCACCCCAGGTAAGGTCACGCTGGGGGTCCTGTTTCACTGGTGCAGAATCTGGGACTCACAGGGTTGATTAAATGGCCCAGGATCACAGGCTGGGGACCAGCAAAGTTCAGACTTGAACCCTGCCTCCCTGGCCTGCTCAATGTCAGTCTATACCCTTTGCATGGACTCAGAGCACCTGAGTGGGTGTGGGGCTGATGTACAGACACCAGGGAGGAGGGTCTGGGCACACTCAGCCCAGAAAAACACGGGCTGCCATTGACCAAAGACCAGGGGGACAGGCACGAGGACCTCCCCCCAGTTCCTGGCAACCCGAAAATTCTAGAGCTCGCCACTTTTCAGAGAAGTACATTTATAGAGGAAAAGGGGCAGGGTGATGGTAATTCAGGACATCTGCAGCCAGAGTTAAATGAGCGTCTCATAATGATGGTGATTTAAAAATTAACGGGCGCCTGGGTGGCTCAGTTGGTTAAGCAACTGCCTTTGGCTCAGGTCACGATCCGGGAGTCCCGGGACTGAGTCCTACATCAGGCTCCCTGTTGAGCGGGGAGTTTGCTTCTCCCTCTGACCTCTCCCCTCTCATGCTCTCTCTCTTTCTCTCATAAATTAGAAAAAAAACAAAACAAAACACTGTTTGCAGAGCGATGCACGACCACTTTGTGGCCATGACTGAATGAGTCAATGAAAACACAGGTGCTGGGGATACGCTTCAGGGCACAGAGAACTAGGAGTTTTGAGAGGGGACCCCCCCTCGAACTGGGACACCCAGCTCCCCACTCCAGCCCCTTCTCTGGGGCATCACCAGGGCTTCTCTGGCCTGGGGCTTGTGTTTTCTCTTTGCACAATGGGGGTGCTGGCCCACTTGGGGAGCCTTGAGGTGGTTGTGTACATGGGGGCCAAACCCCTGGTCTGACTGACAAGAAGAGGAGGAAAGGGCTTACAGGGTGGAAGACCTGGACCACCCCCTGTTGACACCAAACAGCTGTGGAACCTTGGCAGTGACCTACTTCCGCGTGTGTTCGTTTGCTCATCTGTGACCGGAGGGAGGGTCCCATGTCCACGTGGGAGGACGTCCGAGTCTGCTGGGGCCGCCATAGCAAATCACCATAGAGATGGCGCCTTGAGACAATGGACACGCACTCTCCCAGTCCGAGAAGGTGGTGTGGGCAGGACAGCCTCCTTCAGGAGCCTAGGAGGGAGAATTGTCCCCCGCCTCCGTCTGGGCCTCTGGGGGTGGCTGGCCAACCTCGGTGCCCCATGGCAGCCGCCAAAATCCCACCTCTCTGACCTCTCTGCATGTCCCCGACCCCCTCTCCTCTCCTGTGAGGACCCTAATTGCAGGCTGATCTTGTTGGGATCCAGCTGCAAAGATCCAATTTCTAAATCAGGTCACATTCACAGGGACCAGGGGTTAGGACTTGGTCTACCTTTTGGGGGGGAGACAATTCAACCCGCCCCAGAAGGCATTTTGGGGAAGCAAAAGTCATGAATGCCAGGTGTTGTCATTCTCATGCCAAGTCGAGGATGGTGCACGGTGGGGAGGGGTGGGGGGGGACTCATCTTCGTCTTCGCAGCATCGTTGGTGCACCCCCTGCCGGCCAGGCACACGGGGGTGCCACAGGGAGTCCAGATGGAGGGCGGGACCTTGACCCCAAGAAGAGGGGAGGCTGGTGGTGGATAGAGGGAGGATTCTGCACTGGGGTCTCCTCCACATGTGGCTCTTGCCAGCGAACCCCTTCCAACCACCAGAGAGCGGGGAAATCTCCGGGGCTCTAATTACTATTTTTATCCTCCCTACATAGCGGCCTGCCCTGTGTTTCCTCCTCAGTCTAGTCTTCGGGGGGCCGTGTGTAAGGCTCTCCCAGCCCTTCCGGGGGCGTTCTGCTGGTGTCATGAGAGAAAACTAAGCCCCAAAAGACACTCGAGTTTCAAGTCCCTGCTTTCTCCAATCTTGTCACCCACACCCTCTGCCAGAAGGTCTAACTGAACCTTGACCACCACCGACCCCCTGCCATGTCACCCCATGCCCTGTGCTTTCACATGACTGGTCTCCCTTCTGGAACATTCCTTTGTGCCCCTCCCTGCCCCTGCTTAGCGCCCCCCCCCTTTAGCATTTATCCCTCTGTGATCCCCTCTCATTCCCCTGGACCATAGTGTACTCCGCACTTGACTGGGAGGTCCCTGAGGGCAGGAAGACAGCCCCACCCCCTAGTACCCAGACGCCATCTGGATGTTCATGGAAGGAAATCATCCAGAGACCCGGGTTTGAATTCCCTCGTCACCGTCTTCCCAAGTGAGTGCCCTTGGCCTCACCAGCCAGCTGAAGCTTGATGTCCTCGTTTGCCTCCCTGGCCGGCCTGGTTGGTATGTTGACAGACAAATGGGTTTCTGGGACTCCTAATCGATGCACAGGACTAGGGCGTCTACCCCCAGGGGCCCCTGTGATTCAGCCTCCCCCAGCCTGCAGCTCAGCACCCAGCCTCCCGGGGATTGAAGTTGGAGGGAGGCCCGGGCTTCTGCAAACTCTTGGATGCCCTCCCCACCCCTCCCCTGCCCCGCCTCGGCTCCAGGTGTCTCTCTCTCCAGCTATTTTCTTTTCGGATCCAGAGTTCAAAAGAACAAGGCGAGCGAGAGCCCTGGGAAAACAAAAGCCAGCAGGCTCCTTCTTGCAGGCCAGCTCGGGCCTGTAGGGTGCTGCCCACGACTCCCTGCTCCGTCCGGGAAGGAGGGCGTTGGGTTCTGTGGGTTCCACTGCGACTGGGAAAACATCAGCTCCAGTGGGAGGGAAGGCCAGTGCAGGGGCCCAGGCGGAGGGGCGGGGCAGTGGGGTGGGGGGGCAGCCTGACCTAGTTAGAGCCCTAAAGGGCTCCACTGAAAGCCCTTTCAGATGTCCCCCAGGCCTCGGTGCAGGGGTGGCCTAATAATAATAAAACAACATTTGCATGGAGATTTCGTTTACAAAGCACTTTCTCAGGGGTGGGAGGCGCTCGGGTGGCCTGTGGCATCCTGGCGGGGAGGCCCAGGCCTCTGGTTGGTTCCACCCCCCAGCTGAGCTCCGAGCTCGCGGTTGTGTGCTTGTTAACAAAGCGCTATTCATCTGCCTGTTTCCGATTCCTCTGGATTCCGTTCTTTTTTTCCCTCTCCCATGAAGAGCTCACTCAGGGCTTGTCACTCAGGCCAGAAAAGGGGTGTCAGCTGTCCCAGAGGGAGGCGTTGGCTGGGACCTGATTGGAGGGAGGCACCCCTGCCCCGCGGCGCCCCCCCCACCCTTTGGCCCCCAAGCTCCTGGGAATGGGAGCAGCCTCACTGTGGTCGGTTGGTGGAACTCTTCCCAAAGCTGACCTGTGGCTTTGTCTTCATGGTGAAAGAGTGAGCACAGGTGTGGTCATGTCTGCGCGTTTGTTGTGTGTATGTCTGAGGACACCGCACAGAGATGAGCAGTGTGGGGAGGGTCTTGGCTAATTCTTCCCCAGCAGTCTGCATGGTGAGTGGGTGTGGGGGCGTGGGGCCCTGGGGGGAGCATGAGGCCCCAGGGTGTCTGCACCTGTGTCAGGTGGGCGTGGTGAGACATTCGTGGGGAGAGAGTCACGTGGCCATCTCCTGGCCCCTGGCACCCAGGGATGAGGGACGCAGCATCAGACCCGGGCCCCTTAAGGGCCTCCCATGAGCTATATAGGGTCCACCTGCAGGGGCTGAAGCAGGCTTTAGCAGCTCCAGCAGGAGACCGAAGATGCAAGAGGTCATTGCTGGGCTGGAGCAGTTGAACTTCACCTTCGAGAAGGATGTAGAGATGCAGAAGGGCACTGGCCTCCTGCCTTTCCAGGGGATGGACAGTGAGTGAGGCCAGGGTGTCGGCTGCCCCTCTGGAGGAACCTTGAGGGATGGCCCCTCTCCCAGCCCTCTCTGGAGTCCTCTCTGCTCGGCTCACCAGGGAGACTGAGTTGGGTGGGGGGGCTGGAACCGATCATCTGCGAGTCCCAGCTCAGTCCCTCCCTTCTTAGGGGCTCAGGTCCCCCCTCTTACATCTTCTCCAGGACTCCAGGAAAATAGGGCTGACTTCCAGGCAGTCCATTTCCCAGACTGGAAAAGCAGAGAGACCCAGAAGGTGAATTGTGAGAAGCCGGGAATGTCCACACGGGCCCCCTGAGCTCCCCTGCGGCCCTCCATCTCCTCTGTTTCAGAGCTGGGGGTTTAGGTGTTGTGGTCTGGAGGCTGGTTCTGAAAGCCAGCAGCCAAAACACCAGGAGGCTGGGGGCCCCCAGGCTCAAGCGTCAGGGAAGTTCGGGGTGGGGGCACTTCCTGAGAAGGAAAAGCCCCTCCGGCAGCTGCAGCCGCTGAAGAAGCTACCTTCCTTCTTCCCCTTCTAGAATCGGGCTCGGCTGTGTGCAACTTCTTCGCTAAAGGGCTCTGTGACAAAGGTGGGTCAGCAGGAGGACCTGGAGGGGGAGGGGGTCTAGACCAGTCTATACTGTGGTGGGTTCCCCTTGGCCTGGAATAAGGTGTCAAATCTGCACCTGGGGAGGGGAGGTTGGAATGGAGTCGAATTTGTCTTATAAGGAGGCAAAGGGCAGGAGAGCGGGTAGGTCCCTCAGGAAGCCCTCCCCTGCCCTCGAAGGATTTCCCTGGCCCAGCAGCATTGATTAGGGTACCCAGGGCTACCCGGAAGGGGACAGTCCCTTCTTTCCGCCTTGCTGGGGGTGGGAGTGTTTCCGGAGTTTCAGCCTGTGTGTTCCCAGGAGGCCCTGGGGGTCTTGAGTTTCCTCCCCGCCAGGAAAGCTGCGCCCTTCTCCCCAGTTCCCCCAACTTCTCATCCTCTGAATCAACATGGGACCTGGTCAGCTCTTCTATGTAGTCTTTATATCCTTCCGTCTCTGAAATGCTACCCATAAATGTCCCCTGTTTCTCCCCCACCCCAACTTGGATCAAGCAAGCCCCTCTCCCCTAATACAGGCAACCTGACTCCAGCCAGGGGTTCCCAACCTTTGGCTCATGAACCACTCACAGCCTCTTCCTATAGTAATACACAGTTGCCCCCAAAAGTCTTGCCTCCAATCTGGGGGTTCCCAGTCCCCCTATAGATCCAGGTTCAGTAACCCAGCTAATGTGAATGAGTTCAGGACCAGTTTTTTGGATCCAAACAGTCCTGTTCTTGGGAAGCCAGGAGGCTGGGGGGTGTTCTAGGGCGTAATTGCCACGCACCTCGCACCTCCTTTGTCCTGTCAGCCCTGGACGACGGGGTAAGGGGGGGGATCCAGCATTGCTCACTCAAGGCTCAGCACTGAGATGCCGCCTCAAGTCCTGTCTCCAAAGCAGTGGTTCACAGTGACATCCTCTTGCAGAGAAACATCACTGCCCTGGCCGGAGGTCACACCAGAGCAAGTTCCAGGCCGGTGATGGGAGGGCTATTTACAAAGAAGCCCTTCCCGGTTTCCCTCCCTTTCTATCAGACAGTCAGCCAAGCATGAGCCCGGCCCTGCTCAGGAACTTAGGAACTGGGATGTCCTTCCTGCTGATGCTAATACCCCCGGAAGAAGAACAAAGAGTTACCTTGAACATTTCCACTTCCTTCTATGTTGTTACAAAGCTGGCTTGTTGGTTAGCACCTTAGGTCTCTGCACTCAGGAAATGTAACCTTTGTGGGAGTTTTTAGGACCTGATTTTAACAGGCCCTTCAGGAGCACTGGATGCCCCCAGACCGTGCTGGGGGGAGTCCAGGGCTGGAACCACGGCTCTGCTCTCTGGTAGGGGTCCCCCGCCATGAGCCTGGAGGAGAGGGGGTGCCTGAGAGCTGCTCTGACCCCCTGGGGCTCCCTGGGGTTTGAGAAGGGCGAGGGCAGGTCCCGCAGAGCAGAGGGTTTGGGCAGAGGGGTGGTCGTGCGAACAGCCGCGTGTCTGGACTACTACACCTCCTTCATGTTGCCTCCGGCCCCTGATTCTAGCTCCAGGGGGGTCTGGGGATGGGAGGGAGGGAGGGCAGCGGGGATCTGAGCCCCAGCCTCTCCTGGGGAATTCCTTCCCGGCTGAGCCGGGTCCACGCTGTCGGCAGCTGGGTGCTCCGGTGTCCTCAGGGAAGCTCTGCCCGTTCCGGCATAACCAGGGGGAGAAGATGGTGGTGTGTAAACACTGGCTCCGCGGCCTGTGTAAGAAGGGCGACCAGTGCGGTTTCCTGCACCAGTACGATGTCACCAGGATGCCCGAGTGCTACTTCTACTCCAAGTTCGGTAATGTCCCGTCCTGGCTCCAGGCCTTGCCCGGGAGGTTGGCAGTGGGGACTGTGAGAGGGGCGGAAGTTTTGAGAGGGGCACGTGGAGGAGGCTGTGCATGCCTCGGGGGCCAGACCAGCCTCTCTGAGCCTTGGGTGCCTGCTTCTCCAGCCCCCTAGACACAGAAGGTCCCCGTTTTACTGCCTCTGGGGTCCCTGTTTTACTGCCCCGCAGGCACACACGGGTCCCTCTGAGGGAAGGGGAGGGTGTGGCTGGAATCAGAGGCTGAATAGTTCCCCCGACAGTCCTGCCTAATCACATACCCAGACTGACTGTCCGGGAACAAGCCTGAAAAAAGTTGATCTCTCTGTCCTGGGGTGGGTCTGGGCCAGGGAGCCCCAAACAAGCATTTGGAAGCCACTTTCCCAGTGCTTGCCCAACACACAGAACACCTGTTCTGCTGGCTGGTATCATTGTCTACTCTCTCCACTGTCTTGCTATTATTATGTCTTATTTTAGAAGGAAACTTGACATCGTTTCCATAAGTAGGAAACGAGCATCTCTTACAGGCAGTGCGAGATAACTGTAAGCATACAGTCGTGAGGCTCAGACGCCCTAGCCTCTCCAGTTATCTTGTGTGGTCAGGTCTGGACCAGTGTCCTCCCGCCCTCTGGCCTCAGGACCACCTTTTGTCATCCACGGTGCTGCAGAGGGGGAAGCCACAGCCACGAGTCCTCTCCTTTAAGAAGGGTCTGCAAATGTGTTTCAGATCTCATAAAATATCTTCCCAATACAATTCTACAGCTCCGTTCTTTCCGGAGCTGGAAGGAGCCCTACGGATTATGTAGTCTAGCGCTTTTCAAACTGTGTTCCAAAAGAGTGACCTGGGAGGGGAGAGCTGGCCCAGTCTCCAGGGACCTCTCTGACTGAGACAGCTGCAGGGGTCGCTGTCCCTCATTAGTGCCAGCGGCCCCCCAGCGCGGTAGGGGGAGTCTTGGGTATGTGGGAAGAAGGCAAAGCATCCTCGAAGAGCTCCTCCCAGGCCAGAAGTCCATGGCCTGTGTGCTCAGAGCTGGGGTTCAGCTGCCAACGTGTGTTCTTTGAAAGGAAGGACAAAGTTTACCTGGAGCCCGGCTCCCCTTAGTCACCGCCTGAACCTCTTTCATTTAAAAATGCCATTTATTCATTCCTTCAGGAAAACTTGGTTCTGTTTTCTTTTGGGACTTGGATGCTGTGCTGGGGATGGGCACAGGGATAGGACCAGGTTCCCTTCTGTCCCCCAGTACCTCTCACGGTGAGGGGCATCCTTGTAAATCATTTACGGTAGTTCGTAACCTCTGTTTCTGCTCTTAGAGTAAACGAGTATCTCTAATAGCCTATCAAAGCAATTCTCGTTCTTCTTGCAAGGAAGTTGTTTTGTTTAGAGCCTTAGGTTGGGAGGTGTAGGAGCGAGGGATGAAGGGGGCCAGGGTCTTTGGGCACAGCTGCTGGCCGGGGAAAGACAGAGTGGAGGGTGGGGTTTGGGTGCCACCTGCTGGCCGTCAGGGGAGCGCGGCGACGTGCATGGGGGCGCGGGCAGAAAGGGAGCCCTGCGCAGGTGACTTCCCACCGCCTGACCTGTTAAATGCTCACCAGCCCTGGAGGGGGGCAAGGAGGGGGCATGTCACTTCCATTCCTCTGGAGGCTGGAGCCAGGAGTCCGCTCTCTGCCAAGGACTGCACACAGACGACAAGCACGGAAACCCATCGTCAGTGCAAGGAAGGCTGGTGATTGTGGCCACGGCATTTCCCCTCTCCGAGCCCTGGTGTCCTCGTTCGTGAGACGGCAGGAGCTGGAAGGAATGGTGGTTTAAAGCTCTTTGGCATCCGTGGCCCTCTTCTCCAGGTGAAAGCCAATGGTGTGAACATCGTGAAGTTCCTTTTGGTTCTGAGAAGCACCACGTTGTAGATTTTTAGGGAGGATGAGATTGGAAGCCTTCACTGCTTCTCTACTCAAATGAAGTGAAAAATGAGCCGAATCTTCCCCAAGGCTCCTTTCAAGCTCCTGGCCCCTAAGAGAAACCTAAGAGGGTTCTTTCCACAACTCTCAAGTAGTCTGTCCGACAGGGCTGGTTCCTTTGAGGGAACCTAAGTCCTGGTCCATCTACAGACCAAGGACAGTGCAGATGTCGTGAAACTACAGGTGTCCCTCTGTGTCGCGTCTGGCATCATCCCAGTGCCCACTTGGGGGCACTACTCTGCTCTTCTTGGCATTTCCACCAAAAAGGACTGTGCCCTGGTTCTGGAAGCACCGTGGGTCTCCTAGCGATGAAGGCATGAGGGTTTAATCAGATTGTATCCACGATGTGTCTTCTTGGATCGTTAGCTGCTTACTCTGGGTCTCCCCTCCCCACCTCTCCTCTCGTTCCTTCCTCTCTGGTGGCCTCCAAATGCCTTCCATTCCAGCCCCTCCTTCGGGATCTCTGGCCCTGCCTCAACACTTCCAGATGCGCTTATTCCTACCTGAGCCCTGCTGGGCACATAGTACTGGGATCCATCCTCCTTAGATTGTTGGAAGGATCAGAAAAATCTTTCTGTGGCTGGTGGCAGACAGCAGGCAAGTGGCTTCTGTGCAAGGGGCAAGGTCCGTCCAGTCTGGGGAGGATGGAAAGAACACTAAAGATGAGCCTGCTTTTAAAGAATGCTGGACTTTTCAGGTGATTGCAACAAGAAGGAATGTTCCTTTCTCCACGTGAAGCCAGCTTTCCAGACCCGGGACTGTCCTTGGTATGACCAAGGTTTCTGCAAGGATGGTGAGGCCCCGATAGAAAGGGAACACTAGGTGATCCGGATGGGGGAGGGGCGGTCCCTGGAAGGGGAAGGAGGCATATTCCTGATGAGGCCCCGGGGGGCCTTCCCAAGAGAAGGTCCTTCCATCGTCCTCCCCAGGCCCGCTCTGTGACACTGTAACGTTCAGCCAGCGATGGGAGGACCTGGCACAGGACTGGCTTCTTGCAGCAGGCTTACCTGGGTTCTAATCCCCGTGACTTCAGAATGCATCAGCTGTGTGACCTTGAACGAATTGCTGAACTCTCCTCATTTATGGAAAGGGGAAGCCCCTCCCTCCTAGGGCGGACCCCCAAGAGACTGTTCATCTACAGTCTCGTCTCCCCCCCCCCCCCCCCCGCGCCCCCGCCGAGGCTTGCTCTCCCCCCCCCTCACGGGCCCCCCCCCCCCCCCCCCCGTCCTCATCCCTGTGCTCTGAGGCCCACATGCTTTGTTTTCCTTTGCCCCCAGGCGCATTGCTCTGAGGCCTCAGCCATGTTGGTTTTGGGGGATTTTAGGGGAGGAAAAGTGAGCTGTGGGGTGAGCCTTTCCTCAGTGGGTACCTTCCGGAGCTAAGTCAAGATGGCATGTGACTGTGTACAATCATGTCATCCTGCCCAAACGCAGTGTGTTAGGAACACTCCCGGCCCCCCCGTTCAGGACCTACCCCGACATATTCCGAGGTCGCCTTTCCCCTCTCAGTCACATGGTTAGGAAGCAGGTGCTTTGGGCAGTCTGGAAGGGAGAGATTTATACACCCCGTGAAGTGGAGAGCCTGTGACTGCCTACCCTCCTGGTGAGCTTTGTCATGTGTCTTTCTGGCTGTTCTTTGCCCAGCAGGTCCCCTCTGTAAACACCGCCATGTTCCTAAGACAATGTGTGTTAACTACTTAGTGGGCTTCTGCCCCGAGGGCCCCCACTGCCAATTTGCACAGTGAGTATGACCCCTGGATCAGCAACTCCCACCTATCACGGCTGTTCTCTGGCTTCTAGATCTGGATCCTTCTCTACCTTCACTGGCCCAAGGTGGGAAATGAAGTCTGGTGAGCATCTGCCCAGTGTTTTCCTTGCTGGCTTACCCTGCACACCCACACCCCCTCCCCCACTTGGGGCTGCACTGAACGCTACTCCAGGCAGATAATGCGTATTCGAGCTGGGCATGGACATCTAGCTCTTCACAAACTGTTCTAGAAATGAATAGAAACTCTTAACACCCACCCCAAGCCTCTGCAGTTCTCCCTCATCCCCTGGCTGGGGTCTGGGCTCCTTCCCCACAGGGTTCAGAAATGGGAAATCTGCAGCAGGCTGACACTGAGCATGCTAATGAGCTGGGGGTGGGGGTGGGGCTGGAGCCAGACGGTAATCGGTAATCGTCTCTCTCTAATTCCCTCAGTCCCAAGATGAATCTTTTATTCAACTCGAGCTACACGAAGGTGAGTGCAGGCAGGAAGGGGGCAGGTGTGTCTGGTTCTCTTTACTGGGCATGCTCCCTGGGAAGCGGTCTCTCTCTCTCTCTGGTATCACCCTATGCCCAGCTGCCCTCCCTCTCTCATGATCTGCTCCAAGTACCCACCCCGGGAAAGGCACACGCCAACACCCAAACCCCCTCCAACCCCTTTAGGAGGGACTGCTCAGCTTATGGGCCTCTGAGGCTTTCCTTCTCCTTAGCTGGATTGTGTGCGTGTGTGTGTGTGTGTGTGTGTGTATGTGTGTGTGTTTATGTGATCTCTATGCCCAACATGGGGTTTGAACTCATAACCCAAAGGTTAAGAGTTGCATGTTCTACCAACTGAACCAATCAGGCGCCCCATGTATGAGGTTTTTAAATAAAGAACGAGGGGCTCAGCTCCGGATTTGTGGTCTAAAGATGTCGTTCGGGATCCGGGCTGTCCTGGTTGTGCCCAGTCCCTAGGGAAACATATAGTCTTCTGATTGCTACCAAGCACTGATGAGCACCTCTGCACATCGGGGGTCAGGGAACTAATCCAAATCTGGCCCCTGCCTGTCTTTGCACAGCCTGGCACCTGAGAATGATGTTTTAAAAAGCACGTAGGAAAAAAGGCAAACCAAAGAATATATACTGTTAACACGGGAGAATGAAAACGAAAATGTCTTTTCTCGAAGTTTTCCTGGATCAGGGCAAACGCATGGCTTCCGTATCCTCCAGAGACGGTCTCAGGCCTAAGCGGCAGGGCTGAGCGGCTGCAACCGAGCCCACGTGGCCTGCAGAGCCAAACCGCTTTCTATCTGGTCTTCTACAGAAAGCCTTGGCTGACCCCTGGCCTGGATGACTCTGGCAGAGGTCAAAGCGGGCGTGGGAATAGGGCTCTCGGCTCGCGCTCTTCCTCAGGGCCCCGCATCCGGTCCCTCAGCCCCAGGAAAGGCCGGCGCCGGCTCGGGAGGGCGCCCCCTGCTGCCCCTGAGTGGGATCTCGGCTGGAAGGTGGGAAGCCGTCTCCATCCGTGACTGTTGGCCAATTCCCAAGCCCATGTGTAACCGTCAGCAGGAGGCATGTTTTGGCAATTACAGTTGTCACCAAAGGTGTCTTGAAACCTGGTTTCCGCTGAGAGACCTGGCCAGAGCTTTTGCCCCTGGTCTAAAGCCACCATGTGTACACAGAGTGGATGTCTGCAGTGTTTTCTCCTGACCTTACCTGCAGCTTGTCCACGGGCCACGGCGTTCAGCACCTCCTGCTTCCACCTGGGAGAATCACAAGCCGCCTTCCACGACCACGGAGTGCCGGCTTCTCCACCCTCAGAGGCAGCCCCAGGAGCCCCTGCTCTCCTGCCGCTCTGGACTCAGGGCACTGGAGCAGGGCCCGTGCTACACGGTGAGTGGCCGCAGACAGACCAGGCCATTGCCCGGGGGAGGGCGGGGGTGGGGGGTGGGGGGGGAGTGGCTGCAGTCGGTCAGGTAAGAACAACACACTGGGGGGCAGGAGTGATGAATGGGGGTGTGGGGGGGCACTGGTAACTCTAATGTTTCTGCTAAGTCTCCACAACCTCAACCGACTTTTATCTCCAGCCAGACAAGAATTTCTTTATTAAAATCTAGTAAATTTTTTTTTAAGATTTTATTTATTTATTTGACAGGCAGAGATCACAGGTAGGCAGAGAGGCAGGCAGAGAGGAAGGGAAGCAGGCTCCCTGCTGAGCAGAGAGCCCGATGCGGGGCTCGATCCCAGGACCCTGGGATCATGACCTGAGCCGAAGGCAGAGGCTTTAACCCACTGAGCCACCCAGGCACCCCAAAATCTAGTAAATTAAACAGCTCTCACCTCCTCCTTCGCTGCCTATGAATTAGGAGTTCACACCTAATGTCCTCAAGAATTGGGGGGGGGGCAGGATTTGGTAAGGAAAGGAACGTAGCACGTTGTTTTTCTGATTTTGTTGATTTTGGTATTTTCTGGCTTATCAGGAAGTAACATAACTTCATGAGATAACATCTACACTGTCCCGTGCTCCTGACTCCTCTGTACTGAAAGCTCCAGTGGGGACAGGGAAGGGCACAGAGCTCTTGCCTTTCTCGTATGTTTGCTTTTGGGGCCTTTGAACATCTGGATCCCTGTTCTCTGGGATAGCGATGTTGGCTTGAAGGTCTCAAGGTCTTTCAGGCTCGAGATGAAGCTTCGTTTAAGAGAGAATCCATCAGGGGCGCCTGGGTGGCTCAGTGGATTAAGCCTCTGCCTTCAGCTCAGGTCATGGTCTCAGGGTCCTGGGATCGAGCCCCACATCGGGCTCTCTGCTCAGCAGGGAGCCTGCTTCCTCCCCCTCTCTCTCTCTGCCTGCCTCTCTGTCTACTTGTGATCTCCCTCTCTCTGTCAAAAAAATAAATAAAATCTTTAAAAAAAAAAAAAAAGGAGAGAATACATCAAACTCCTTAGAATGACAGCAAACTATCTCTCAGGGTTCCCTAGACGGGTTAGGGCATTTCTCCTGGGATCCGAATTTACAAAAGTGACATCGGTCATCTTTTTCTTTTAGTGTCGTAACATGGGCCGTTATGCCAGCCAGAGCAGTAAGACTCCAACAGGTAGGAGTTATCAAAAAGTAACCCCAGGTCGGTGGGCTAACTGACGACCATCCAGCGAAGAAACCCAACGTCCACTCTTTGGGATCCTCTGGTCCCCATGCCCAGTTCGCCCTCGTGTTGGCCTTCATTGGGCTGGAGATACGGAAGTAGTGGCCTGGTGCACGGGGGCTTATTTCCTCTAATCCTGTAAGGGAGCCAGCTGGTAGAAATACACCAGGACTGGAGGCAGATGGGACTGTGGTAGGGCACGGTATCACAAAATGGGGGAGCAGGATGTACGTACACTCAGAGCTCAGGTTTGTGGGACATGCACGGGTCCTGCTCCGCATGGCTCTTGCACCACCGCCAAGCTCGGGCCGTGCACGGCAGTGCTGTTCACATGGCCTCGCCTGCTGCTGGGAACTTATTAAACCCAATAGTTTTCTTCAGCATGACAGCTGCCTCCCTGTGTGGCTTCCTTCAATTTGAGGCTCTGTTCTGTGCGTGCTTTAGGCGAGGATTTACAGGCAGGGAGATGGTGCAAACAAGGCTTGTCTCTGGGAGGGGAGGGAGTGACGTGCACCATTTAAGGCCACACTAAGTCAAAGGCCATTGTGATTTAATCTGCAGGGAGAGGTGCGGGTAGGCTAAGCCATGCCTTTTGGGGAAAGGGAGAAAACAGTAGGTGTGTGGTGGGAGCAGATGTACCAGCCCCCGCTTTGGCAGATGGAGACAGCTGCCTGGACTGCCCGGAGCTGGAGGGAAAAGGGACAGGGCCGTTCCCCCCCGGGGGCTGCTGAGACCAACACCAGGCAGCCATGGAGGCAAACTGCCTCACGTCAGGCCTCTGCTTCCTGGTGCTGAAAAACGAACCTGGCACCTGCCTCACTGGGTGGTCGGAAGGCTAGACCGAGAGCGTGCAGGTCAAGAACTTGGCACAGCACTTGGCTTTGATCGCAGAGTAGGCACTCACACGGCAGCCAGGCTTTTGTGTGAATTGTGGTGGGGTCTTTCTTGCTTGGTTCGAGGTTAGAATCTGAACACGGGATGGTGCCACTGAGGTTTCGGAAGAGCTGTTGTGATTCAAGGCCTGCTATGTGTCGGCCTCTGCTGGAACTGACCGATGCGGGACTTCTCATCTCACCCAATCTCTGCAAAGCATGTATCATCCTCCCCACCTTATAGGTCAGGCCGTCCCGAGAGGCTCCAGTAAGTTAGACAACCTGCCCGGGGCCACACCCACCCAACTCAAAGATGACGGTCTGGAAGAGGCAATAATAAGAGGGGAAGTAAAAAATACATTTAAAAATGTGCTCTTTCTGAAAGGTGGTGGTAATCCCACAGAGGAGCACAGGACGCAGGCTGATTAGGATCATCTGTACATCCGGACAAACAAGGACTAGGAACAGTGGCAGCAGACAGGGTTTCCCACAGGAGTAACACACCCCATTGCTAACAGAACACGATTATCTTTAAGAACTAAATACTTGAATGTGTATTAGACAAAAGTACTTTCCCCCGTCCACGCAGCCTTTCAGATATTCCCACTCAGGCCTCAACTCCAGTAGCTGACGCCGGGGTAACCCACCCTACAGAGCACAAGGGCGCAGCTGGGGCAATGGGGCGGGCCCTTGAGGATTTCTGGCCTTCCAGAACGGGCCCCTCCTCGCGAGTCTTCTCACAGGTGGAGCGGAGCCTGGCCATCCCAGAAACGCCTCCATGGGAGGGACGGGAAGGCGGGTGGGGACTGTTGGTATGGATTCTCTGCCCGCTGCTGAACCGGAAGCAAAACCTAAGCACTGTTGCTCACCCAAGGAGCGCTCCTGCCAGGCCTGTGCAAGGTACGGAGCATCGTTTTGGGAGACCAAATCAAGGAGGCTGTTTAACACGGCTCAGCCAGCTACGAGCATTCCTGACTTCTTTTTCTCGGCTTTGTGAAGAGCAGTTACTCGTGCCTCACGTCTGCAGGATGCTGGCCTCTGGCAGCTCAGGCTCACGCGTCTGCATTTCCAGTTTGGAAAAGAATCTCTGGTCTTGCGGGAGGAAGCCTTGCATCCGCCACGTCACACGCAGGACTGGGGCAGGCTGTGCAAATGAACTTGTGGGGATATCTGCAGGTACGAGTAGTAAATCTGGCCTCGCAAACCAGACTCACAGTACTCGTGTAAGCGGGAGCTATGAAGTGTGTTCCCTCTGTCACTCGGAGTTGGGCTCGACCTCAGCCGGCAGGTATCCGCTGACCGCGATGACTCAGACTACTGGGAAATATTCACCCAGAACCAGGCCTGTCCACAGTCAAAAAACGGACTTCCTCTGTAACCATTTTAGAGTCCAATAATTTTATTCTTTTCTCTCCCTCTCCCCCAAACCATCTTCAATGGTTAAATGTTCACTGCTGGTGTCCCAGTGTACGTCCCCTGCGGGCTCCAGGCTTCCATCCTATGTCCCGGTCACCACTTCCGCCAGCGCTGTAGCTCTTTGGATAAATAGAGAGAAGCATAAGGACCCAAGGGGCCACTTCTTTTTCTTTTTTTTTTTTTTAAAGATTTTATTTATTTATTTGACAGACAGAGATCACAAGTAGGCAGAGAGGCAGGCAGAGAGAAAGGGGGAAGCAGGCTCCCGGCTGAGCACAGAGCCCGATGCGGGGCTCGATCCCAGGACCCTGAGATCATGACCTGAGCTGAAGGCAGAAGCTTTAACCCACTGAGCCACCCAGTCCCCCTGCCAAGAAGCCACTTGTAAAGACGGTTTCTGTCTCCTGCGTGTGCAGATCATTACGTTCCCCTTTTGTTTTACAGGTTCAGAAATAAAGTCTTAGGGGCAATCAGAAATTTCTGCTTCACTTTCTTCAAAGATGTGAAAAACAAACCTCAGGTATCAACCACCTGAGCCCTTTCAGACAGGTAAGCCTTTAAGGGGGGGCTTGTCCCTGAGAAAGAAGTGTAAGTGAGGTGTCCTGGAGTCTCCATGTACACAGAGCTGATGAGAAAGGAACTCCTCTTCCTAATCAACGGGCTGGCGGACCGCACACCTACCAGTGCCCCACCAGCGGTGTGCAGGAATTTACCGCAGTCCTGTTTCTGCTGCTTGATCTGCTCTCCCACTTACTAGACACCCAATCAGTCAAAAAATCCAATTAGAGTCAAGTCACCCCCCTTTTTTTTTAAAGTAGGCTCCACGCCCAAAGTGGCGCTTGAACTCACGACCTCGGGATCGGGAGTCACATGGTCCACCAACGGAGCCAGCAGACACCCCAAGTCCTATTAAGCATTTGTGAATTACACTGTTATTAATGGCTGCCTTGTACCTTTACACCAGAAGTTTTCAGAAAGCATCTGGGCTTTTTTTAATCGTGGAAAAATACTGGGCTTTTTTGGATATTCTTTTATATACTTTGTCTTTTAAACATTTTAACTATAAAAATATATTTTTATAAAGCAGGACTTTAAAAAAATGAGGTAAGTCATCTTGGGACTAAAAGAGAAATGAAGTTCAGACACGCTTCCTCCTGGTAAGATCGGATGCAAGCTGGAAGTCCCAGCTAGAAGGATGGTTTTGTTTTACATGGTGAAAGTAACGTTTAAGATTTCTGAGACCCTCAGACACATGAGTGAGAGCTGTATTGTTTCTCCC